AAGCTTTAATCTGGGTGTCAAATCTCACATCTTAGGCAGATTCTTTTATTCTGGAGTCCAGATGCAGTTGCATGTGTTTATCCTAACACTCGCACCACAGGGCATGACATGAAGATAAGGATGGTGATACAGTATAGTTTACAAAAGTATATGAAGTCATATCTGAGGAGAGGATCAATGAGAGCGATTATCTTTGTCACACTGAAGGTGATAAAAAAACAGATAAATCAGATCACACTGCTGAGTGGGTCAACTTCCAAATTACAAAAAACCAAAGCTCTAAGTATTGCACAAAACAACTTCTAAATTTTTGTTTGTACAACATAAAAATCAAAGTCAAGTTTACCACTGGGTCACTTTTATGAAATTCCACTTTTAATTGATTTGGAAAGTGACAACACACACTGGAGTAAATGTACAGGTTTGAGGATCAACATCTTTTTTCACCATTATATGATTTTTTTTTACTTTCATGATCTGATGAACATTTTTCAGTAGAAGACATATGGATATGGACTGCAGGCAGGCCAGTCAAGCAAACATACTTTAGTGGTTGAAGCCATGTTTCTGTCATTAGGGTGAAAGAGGTCTGAAAAATAAATCATTATAGACGGCACATCAGTGACATGTTTGCAAAAAAAACAAGCCTTCAAATAATATTGAAGTAATAAATAACATTGAACCAAAACATGGAACTACTGAAGGTGAGTGTGGAAATAGCTCAATTTTGACTGTTGGTATTATCACAACCACAGTTACAAAATTATCTTGTCTTTTGGTAAAGCTACTTTTTTACATATGCATTAAAATATGTTCTTTGTTATTGATATATATATGGACATCACTCGAAATTTAAATTATAATTATAGTGATGTTTTATTGAGAACAAAACATTTGAAAAGAAACAAAGACAACAGCAAAAAAGTGTAATGATTGGCAGCCAGTGGTCCCGTGATCGAGTAAGTAAGCTTAAGAATTTATACTTCATTATTTTTTGATTAAGTATCATCACAAAAACACAATGGAATGAACAGGATTTTTTTTCTCACTGCAAAGTAAAACTATTTCCTCTGAAACAGTTGCTTTGTCCCTGTTGCGGATGTTTTGAATATCAGATGTTATTGTATTTGTTAAGGTTCCCCGAGTTCACCCTCCATTGTCCGGACCAGGATGTACAGCTCAGCAAGACCCACCACAGAGGCAGTGATCACGGCTGTTATCACTCTCTAAAAAGACAACAACAAAGTCACATCAAGGTAATTAAATCTGTGTAGTCCAAATCTACAAAAACTATTTTACTTCAAAGAATGACATGAGAATAAATTACGCATCAAACAAAGTAAATAAAAATAAAATACAGCTTGAAGGTTCAAAGAATGACATGAGAATAAATTACCCATCAAACAAAGTAAATAAAAATAAAGTTTGGAGAATATTAAAAAGATATATGTATTAGATTATGATTTTAGAGGACTTTTTAACAATGACATGGTGCACTTCACTGTTCTGGAGTGAAGTAGTTGTATCATAATAAGTGGTTGAGTGTTAACATGATTCAATGGTGACGTCTTACCGCTGCGATCTCAGTGAACAGGTACTGACTGCCCATATATGAACAGGCAAACGCAGCAACCACGGTGACCAGGAAGTTGAATACCGTCACAGCCACAGCTTTGACTGATCGTACTGCAGGAGAACATTAATTGATCAATATATTCTCAATATATACTTTGTGATGCTCTGTTATCATGTTTCCTATATATATTGTTTGACATTAATTACAGCCATACATATGACCAACCTTGGTGTCCAAAATCTGCTAATGTCCCACATCTGTTGATCTCCTGCAGTTTAACAAAAACATTTTAAAAATTATTATTCAACGTAACGGTACAGTCAAGGCCACATGCAGACGGGTCATAGTTAAACATGTCAGAATATTAGGCGACTGACCTGAGTGTTGACATTGCGTGTGATTCTACTGTACTCCTCATTGGCCAGTTTAGCTTTAATCTTCTCCAGACGTGCAACCAGCTCAGGATTCTGTAAAAGGAGAGGGAGGAAGTGGGACAGGTTATAAGTGTGATTTTATAATGTATCCAATCAATGAATGTACAAGTACCAGGTTCCAAACTCAAAAGAAGTAGTTTCCACTTACTCTAGGAGGTTTCACAACTTCTGGTAGATACAATGAACTGTCCTCTAATAACTCATGCAGGTAGAATGGATGATCTAAAAAAGAAAAGGAATAAAGTCATACTTTTATTGTTTTAATACATACATGACACTGTACAGGACTATGTTGTACTATATATGCCACATACAGTCAAACTGAATTATATTAACCAAATAATGATGATTCTTTACGGACCACATGTTATCGTTATATATGGTCTGCTTCTATGTGTTTATATGATACAAAAACTAATCAATATAAATAAGGGCTGTAGATAAACGTGTAAACGCATCACTTCACTTTGCTCCTGCAGGTACTTCTTGAGTTTTCTCGCTGTGGTGAAAGGCAGAGTTGACGGCCGTGGCTTTTTGATAATCTCCTCCAGTTCTTCTCTCAGTGACTGCGGCACCGATGAGTCGGTCTTCCCCAATAATTCGGTGACTCTGGTTCTAAACTGATCTCCAATAACAAATGACGAAGCCATCGTTGTAAACACAGATCAGAGGGTTGATGTTTTACCACTATCCAGGCTTTTTCGCAGTGAAGCAGACGATAAAGAATAACGTACACTGAGAAGGAAATTTAGCAAAAAATATTTCACATTTGTAAATTGATTAACAGACGCTAGAAGCACGTATGGAGGCTATGAACAGAAATTTAAAACCCAGTAGGACGCCATGTTGTTAATCTTGTGACATGATGACGAACGTATCACGTGACAATTTGACACCCACATAACCAGGATTATGTTCTTATTTTTATTTGTATTTCACAAAACAACATATATTGTTATTGGCATTTTAAAGATCATGTCTTGCGCTTTGCATTTCTAAAACATAAATCCATAAATTATTTGGTGACCACACGTGAGTTCCTGTGTAATCTTCACTGTCTCAAAAATAAATCGTAAAACCAAGCATTCATGCTTATCATCCTCATCACCATTGGTGTCTCACTATCATCTTGATGAGGTACGGCGAGATATTATTAAGTAAGAGTTTTACAACAACATTATAAAATGTAGGTTATCCTATTGCATAATACAAAAACTTATAAGCTGAAGTCCTTTGAAAACACACAGCTTCTTGCAAATACGACTCTTTTGTGTGTCCCTGAACGCACCATATCTGCTAACCACGCATGTACGTGAACGTGCAGTGCTACCAGGGCTGGAAAGATGGCGGCCTCTGCGTTTCGCCGAGGTTTGCTAAGTACCGTCAGTAAATACAACAGAAAACACACGCACAGAATAGCGTGTGGCGTTGACCTAAGCAGCGGTTTCGAGCCGCACAGCCTGTGGCTGCAATGCCGGGCCTGTGGGCTGTCTGGCGGTTCCCAGCAGAAGAGGTTCATGTCGTCACGGTAAGCGGAGCAGCTTGTGTCCTGCCCCCCTTCCACTCACCGCTAACAGGCTAAAGACGAGCTTAGCCTCGCCACAAACTCTCTAAAATGACACAACGCAAACACTGTCCGCATATTGGTCGTTAATGGACATGCGTTTTGAGATAAGGCTTGTGATACTGTAGTGATGTTTTAACATGTCCCAGTGTTAATCAGCGAAAATAGAAATGCTGACGGTTGTCCTCTGCTGCTCCGCTAGTTAGCACGAAATGCAGCCGGCCACTGTGGGTTGTGCAACATTTCAGGACATTCTCCAAAATGCACCAGCACATTGGACGTATAGAGATTCGGTTTACCGGCCGTCCGTTGACCTAACGTTATATATTTGTCTAGTACTAATAAAGTAAATACATGCAAGAAATGACAAAATGTTGATATAATTGTAGAAGAAATAATTAAAATGTTTATGATTTATTATTGTTGGCAATCAGTTTATTGACAAATCTCAAAAGCCAGAAAACTCAGTCTGCTAGTTAGCTCATGTATGGCCTACATAAATTAAAAATATTAAAGTTTATTACATTGATTTCCCATGAAAAATGGTGAAAAGATATTTGACTTCAAATCTATGCAAAAACCATCCCGTTTGAATGCTTAAAACGATTTGAAAATGTACATTTGATTTTGAAACTAAATTTCTCACATATTCCTTTCTCCAATTAAAATATTATATCCTGCTTGACATTTTTTTAAAACAAACCTTCACTACAGAAATTCACCCAGGGTCCACTATGATTTCAGTCCCAGTTGGGGTTGAGGCTGTAATTATTAGTATTTTTTCGTAATTGTTACTTAATACTAATTTCTATTGTTTTCTGTTATAACCCTACTTTTGTTATTTCCCATTTTTATTGTATTTTGGCTTTTTTTTTTTTGACGCAAAGTCCAGGGTTAACATTGCTTTCTGTCTATATTTAGCTGTGGTTCGTTGTGTCAACACAGTGTACCAACCTTTCTCTGATTGTAGCTATCCTAAAAACAGAACAGTGGAGCTCATGGCAAAGACACACTGCTCAGATGCTGAGCTTTCACACCATGCTGTTATCTGCCAGTTATGTAATTACTGGGTCTGTAAAAAGATTCATCTTCAATCTGACTACACACAGGGTAGTTGTAGATTACTGTGGGGTTTAGACCTGCTGAGCACTCTCTTTCAGAGAGTGAAAGATGGAATTAATAAATCTAAAGGACAAACCCCCGGCTTTTGTTGTTTGCTTTGTGGCACAAGTAAACATCAGACCGGCTTTTGTTGTTTGCTTTGTGGCAATTGCACAAGTAAACATCAAAATAGAAAATTATTTCACTTGCTTAGATGTTTAGTAAAAAGTTCTTGTTGACAACTTTTTTGTATTTCTCTGGTGATCTGTGCACCACAGGCTAAAAACAAGGCTTCATCTTTCTCCATATTCTATAACAATGTAGCATTCATAATCTATTCCTGCCTTTTTTGGATGTTAGCAAATGCATTTGTCTGCATAAAAAATATGATAACACAATTAAAGTTTAAAATAAAGCCCACAGATGTTTAGCGTAAATAATTATTATTGTTTACTTCAATATTGACCTTATTCCAGACAGCTCTTGAGGGGCTGGATGTGGCCTTTTAATATTTTACTTATAATACAATCAGGTTAGTTGGTGATTATTTTTGTCCAACTCAACTGTGCTGTGAAAATAACCTGAAACCAAGACTACGGTAAATATGAAATCCCTTAGTTTATATATCCAGCCTCAGTAATCCGCACTCTTTATCTCTGTTGTGAAGATTAGCTCTGTGTGGAGTGCAGAAGTACGCATCTTGTTTATTTGAAGGGACCAGCTGTTGTTATCAGTGGTAATGCTGGTGTGAGTGTGTGTGTGTGTGTATCAGTATGTGAGAGCGTGGCCGAGTGGTATTTCTGTTTTACATCAGGCCAAGTGTGGATGTGTTATTTAATCCTGTCAAACTTGTGATTGAGATTAAGATCGAGGGGGGCTCAACAGAGACAGACGCAGGATTTTCCCTCCTATTACAGTTATTGTAACTCATCACTATAAGAGGAAAAATCCTAAAACCTGTTAGACAATCCTGTAAGACTCTCCTGCGGCTGGAACATAATTCATATATGATGTTCTGATCTCTGGCCACATCAACAACAACAACAGACCTGTTGTATATAGGATCTAAAATACTGATGTGTTGCTCAAATCCTGAAAATTGATACTTGACAGGTTTTGAAATGCCATTTGTTACTAGAGGACCAAAAATATCTTGAGCAGTTAATAGATAATATGTATTACAAATAAAAAATGTTTTGATGATGATGTATTTTTAATATAAGTTGTCAAAGCAGTGAAACAGATGTTCTAGTGACAGGTCCAGTTTTTAATGGTGTTGCCTGTTTTTGGCAGGAACAGGCCTGAGGGCAAGATTTTGGAAACAGTGGGAGTGTTTGAAGCTTTGAAGCAGCATGGAAAATATGAAACGGGTCAGGTAAGACTAATGTTGACACTCACCACATTCAGAAGTAAACAAAAAAGCATAGAGTTAAACCTTTGTTTTCGATGTTACTGCGCTGTTCTATGTCTTTTGTTCAGGGCTCCATATTTTGATAAGTTAGTAACTTGAGCACATTGCACACAATCTTGTCAAGTGACTATAATCCTGTTTACCTTATGCTTCATTGAACTGCCTTCACAAACAATGTCTCATGGATTTGACCTTGTTGTTGTGCTGCTCCCAGCTCTTCCTCCACAGTGTGTTTGGATACAGAGGTATTGTTTTGTTTCCCTGGCATGCCCGGCTCTACGACAGAGACATCACCCCTCCCATAGCTGACAGGTAAAGTTTCAGCTGCAGCTCCAGACTGTACTAAAACACCTATAATAGCTGGAGTTTAAACAGTTTTTTTTCTAAAATTAACTGGGATCAATTTGTTAATTAATTCTGTTTAGCAAACCAGATTTACCAGGAGCTCACACTTCCAAAGAGGTAAAAGGGAAGACTCACACTTACTACCAAGTTCTGATTGACACTCGGGACTGCCCACACATAGTAAGTAAATGTATATTTACTACTTATCACTAACAGCTTTGTTAGTTTTGTGCTGTCTCAAAGTTTTCCTTGTTAATGTACAGTCTGTGGTAAACAAAATAAACAGTGGCAGGAACAAATGATGTCTATGAAAACTACATTATGAAGTCCAGCTTCTGCTGGCTAAAAATGGTATTGCAGACAAAATAGCTTCTCTGGGTGACATCAGGGAATGGGGTCTAAAAATGTATATGATTTTGACTAGAGCTGGGGCATGTACACAAAGTAATCTACTTCTACAGGCTTTACACTTTTGTCTCCAAATATTTTGTAAGATAATTGTCGTTTTGTCACAGTCTCAGAGGTCGCAGACGGAAGCTGTAACATTTCTGGCCAACCATGATGATAGCAGAGCTCTGTACGCCATCCCAGGTAACTTTGAAGAGCAGTCCCTAACACAGAAACTTCACTAGTGCAGCATTATTATATTGACATGATGGACTGGAGTGCCTTTTGATGGTTATGGTTAAAAACATGTTTGAGCTGAGACAGAATAAATGCAGGTTTTAACTAACTACTGTTTTTCCCCCTCAGGTCTGGACTATGTGAGCCATGAAGACATCCTGCCTTATAATGCCACAGAGCAGATCCCCATCCAGCATGAACTGTTTGAGCGCTTCCTGGTATACAACCCTGCAAAATGTAAGCCCACTTTATCATTCAGCATTATTCATATTCTCATTCCTTAAGGTATTCATATCTTGGTCTTAATTCAAGGACGCGCTTGATTCAACAATCTGACAGACCTATGGTCAATTCATGGAATGAACATGTTAAGCGTGCATTTCTTTCTGTTAAAGGAAGTGTGGGTTCAGAAAATGAAAGTAAAAAGCTAGACAGACCTATGGTCAATTCATGGAATGTACATGTTAAGCATGCAATTCTTTCTTTTAAAAACCATAGAAGTTGGCTTAGAAAATGAAAGTAAAAAGTTGAATTTCATCATCTTTATATGTATGACTGTGTTATGTTCTCTGTAGCTCCTCCGTTCACACCGAGAGACACCCTTAAGGCATGGCAGGAGAAGAACCACCCTTGGCTGGAGCTGTCAGACGTCCACAGGGAGACCACAGAGAACATCCGAGTCACTGTCATCCCCTTTTACATGGGCATGAGGGTAGGTGAATAATAATGTCCATGTTTAACCTGAAGGCTTTTTACTAAAATAGTAAAAACACCGTCAGTTCCGACTAGTGTTATTAAAACCCATAACTAAATATTTAAATACTGATTCTGATATTTGACTCAGTTTTTACTATAACAAATATTTACTCAGGGATTTTAAAAAGCAAACAGTTGTGACAAATCTAATCATGTGTTCTTGACTCAGTCACAGGAATGTTAAAGCCTGACTTGTTTTTTTTAGTTTTGTCAAGGAACAGAGAACATTCTGTCACTGCAGTAACTGTAGTTACCAGACATTAAACTGCAGTGTCACAGTTCTTTCACCTAAACCTTCATCTTGTATTTTGTATTACAATGTAATGTTTTTTTTTTGGACTGAAATACTTTCATATACTAAAGTGAATATATTTTTGTTTTCAGGAGGCCCAGAACTCCCATGTGTACTGGGTGAGTAGAGTCAAGCCTAGACTCTAAAGCCATGTAATGTACTGTACATCCGTAGATCAATAAGTCTACTGTATTAATGTCAGCAGAGTTCAAATAAAAAATGTTTTGTTGTGTGCCATTAGTGGCGATACTGTATTCGACTGGAGAACATGGGTAATGAAGTGGTTCAGCTGAGAGAGCGGCACTGGAGGATCTTCAGTCTGTCAGGAACCCTGGAGACGGTTCGAGGACGAGGAGTTGTGGGCAGGGTTGGTACCAGCGTCCAAAATTATCCAACGTATTATTGTTAAAACGCCAGCTTCCTAAAGTAGTGAGGATGGTCAGAAAACAAAAACAAAAATGTATTGCCACAAAAACAATAAAGACTCTGTACTGCAGTATTTTGACTTCAGTTATGTTCAGTGTCTCTGCTTTGGAATTGACCAGCCATCTTGTGTTTGTGTCATCACAGGAACCAGTGTTGTCTAAAGAGCAGCCAGCGTTTCAGTACAGCAGTCACGTGTCCCTACAAGCCCCCAGTGGCCACATGTGGTGAGTGTGCTCATGAATATATTCATTTATTACATGTAAATAAAGCGTCATGCTGTATGAACTGAAGAATGGAGACAGTCCAGTTGCCCTCTAGTTAACTGCTTCAGTTACAAATGACCATAGTCCATGCTCTGCTGTTTATTTTTATCCTACAATAATATTTATTTTCATTATAATAAATGACCCATTTCTGTGTTTGTGCTCAGGGGAACGTTTCGTATTGAAAGGACTGACGGCTCCCACTTTGACGTTCGCATTCCTCCCTTCTCCTTAGAAAGTAACAAAGATGACAAAGCGCCCCCTGCTGGTTACACATTTTAAATGCATGTTGTCGTCTCCCCCTGTGAGGACCAGACCCCGTTACTCCTGGGCGTCTACAGTTAAAATTACTTCAGCTGTCAGTGTATGCAGCAAGAGTCGAGGTCTGCAGAGGGAACACGCAGCATTTCACACATCATTCATTCAAGTGCAGCCACATATTTTTACATTTATATTATATTATTATATTATAACGGTGGAAAAGCTACAGCAAAATGCGACTGCGTTCATCATACCAGGTTAGCTTTGCTGTGTGTTGTGGTTTAGTAGACAGTGTTATCAGAGCTGGACCTTGGGACCTGGACCTGAGTCCTTCAAATCAACCAGGCAAGGCCACAGTGGCTGTGGTGGCCCACCATCTGGGTCAGAAAGGTTGTAACTTTATATGGAGACATTTTGCTATTTTAAAACATCCATAATTTGTTTAAAAAATAGTTTTCATCACATCTACACAGGCAGATAAAAGTAAACAGTATGATTTCCCTGCTGTGTGGCTGCGTCCGTTAAGCACCAGTCGCTCGATAAGCAGTCGATATACACTTCAATAGATGACACACTTTTTTATATCTCATGACATAACTGCAAAATCTGAATTCCATGAGAGAAAAAGCTGCCTGAAAAAAAAAAAACTAAAAAAAAAGTTTTATTTATTAAAGCCCACAAAACTCATCCTCTTAGTTTTTCCTGTCGTTTTGTCCTTGAAGCTACAAATGCTGCTCTTGTGCCCTACGACCTCTGGGACACTGAGTAGACAGGAAGCTGAATTCTGGGACAGAAACAGTTAATATGGGTGGGAAATGGAGATTATTAAAGCCCAGAATATCTAACATCCTAAAATGTCAGTATTTGTGGAGACACATTTGGCAATAAATGCAGTCTCAGGTCTTTCAACAGTCGTGCTTGGCCTTATGCAACACCAGACTGTACCAGGCTTTACTGAATCCATGTCAGGTCAAGGATGTTCACAATCTGATCTTACAACTGTGTTTTACGATTGAAGAATTGATTTGAAAATTGATTTTTATTTAGCTGAAAGTCTTCCTTTTCTTTCCAAACACCTTATTCCCCGCACATGCATATCTGTTATTTTAATGGACTCACATTCACATCTAGTATGTTTTGTGCCTCATTGTGTTAAGCAGAACATCATAGGTGTGAGTAAATGGACTTGCAATATGATGAAATGCAGACTACCCAAAGACTAGAAAGTCCTTTTGGTTTCCTGGGGAAGAATATTAAACAAATTGGTTGCCATCACTGTAGCCATAGGCAGTGTGCCAACTCGAAGGTTGAAACTGCTGTTTAAGAAAGAAGGTGTGTTAACCTTTGAAAGCATCTTGTGTTTTCAATTGATAGAAGGATGGTTATAGGTGGTGATGTTTGAATGTAAGGCTTTGAACATAGATATTGCACTGGTTAAAAAAAATTGTCTTGCACGGAGGGGTCTACAGTATGACCGTTTCCCTCGGTCTAATGTTTTTTTTTCTTTTGTTGCCACAGGAATAACAGCCCAGAAATAAACATTTGTATTACACCCCCCCCCCTTTTTCCCTTGTAAAACACGTTTTGTACAATTAAGCTAAAGGCCAACTTAGTCGAGTCTGAAAACTCAGTGCGACACTGAAAGCAGGGACTGTTTTTTTGATAAATAATTTGAAGCAAAAAATGGTTTAAACACAGCTGTAAATATACATATAATTAAAGGCTAAACAAATAAACACTTTTTGAAAAATATGCTTTCACATTTTTCATTTGTTTCTGCTGTCTGCGCTTATAAGGACGCGATCTGAGATTTACTAAAGTTGTTCATGTGAAACAACGTGCTAGAACTGTCCGCACGTTATGAACAGTTTAAACCGTTTACCCAAATTCAAATCTATATTGAAAAACTACGACGTAATTCCGCTGGTAAATGTCGGAAACATTTAATGTAGAACAACTGCAGCGACTACGATTCCCTGCGTATAAGATCAGCGTTTAATTATATGGAAGCACGAGTTCCAATTGTTCGCCACTAGATGTCAGTACAGATCATTTTTGACCACATAGTAACTATAATAAACGGATTAAAATATGAATCCGATGCAAAACAATATTAAAAATATTGTGCAAAATAGATATATTTTACTCTCTTGGCTAAATTAATATTAAAAATATTGTGCAAAATAGATTTTTATAGACTTTTACTCTCTTGGCTAAATTTAAAAAAAAATTCTAGTGAACTGTTGTGAGTCCAGTGAGTATTTTAGAGTCTTTATTCGTGTTCTTGCAAAGTGCAGTTATTTCTTATGAGAAATTATTTGGAATGCAGACAGGCCAGTCACATAGATACTCTGTCTACTGATGACCCTCATAGCATCAGAGCTTATAGATTTTTGACATTTTTTGTAAACATTATGGATTCAGTCGTGTGTTGTTCTATAGATTCAGTTGTGTCGGTGTGTCGTTTTGAAATGATCTAAACAGTGATTTGTGTGATTACAGTTTTCTCAGCCTTTAAGTCTAGATCCGATAAACTACTGTACATATCTTTGATATATTACTTTGCATGCACAGTCTTCAAGGGGTTTGAAAGCAGCAGTGGCTTATTTAAAAAGACAATGATTATTTTTGTACAACTGAGGTGGCCATGCACATCACAATAGCACAGCAGTTTCTAGGCAACACTGTCTAAGGACTCTTTAGGTCATAGAATTGACCTTTACTTAAAACATTTTTTTTAAATGCCAGTAAAGGCTCTCTTAAAGCCTTAAATTCGATTTCCTATGTATATATATATATATATATTTTAATATTTGGTTTTATAAAATAAATTAAGCCCTTTTTAATTTTATGGTATCCTAAAACACAGCATTGTGTTTACTTGGTGCAGTAGAAGGAAAATACAGTACATTCAAAAGTGCCCTTAATAAGGTTCGCATTTAATTTTACAAATAAGATGCACATTTTCAGCTCCAATAAACTCCGAAATACAAATTTGAGAACAGTAAAATTTAAGTACAAATGGCTAATTTGATTGATTAATAGGAAATGTCACCGAAATAAGACGTTTTTTTTTGGGGGGGGGGGCGTTTACAGCCGAATTAATTTAAGGAGTGACTATTGTTTTAACAAAAGATGAGTCATCGTGGTGAGTTAGATAAACCTCGGACATTTAACAATCCAAAATAGAAACACTTGTTCCCAACTGACAGCAGTCTCTCAGGACGACAGGACGTCACGTTCACTTTCACCTTACAAACTTGGCGGCGCTCGTGCTCCGGGGGCCCCGCCCATCCCGCCTTGACGAGCACACGCGGCGCGCGTCCAAGTCAGCTGAACAGTGAGAGTGATACACGCAACTGAGTCCCAGCCGAGGAGAGGAAAGGAGGGAAGACACGGACCCACACTCCCGCTTCTTCCTGTTCTGTTTTTCTGCGGCAACACAGCGGCTCTGGGGCGCGGGCAGCGAGAGAACGACGGTGTATCCGCTCCTCCAGCAGCTTCAGGCGGATACACGGTGGCTGCTTCACTGCAGGTAAACTCACGACTTCAGCTTCAGGAAGGAGAGGTGTGGAGGGAAGAAGAAGAAGAAGAGGAGACGTAAACATTGCCTTGCCCTGCTTCGTGCATCACTTCTTCTACTGCTGCTGCTCTGGTGCAGGACAGAGGAGTCTGTTTTGAGCAGGATGAGGAAAACACCACGCTGCTGTCGAGGGTAAATATTTTGGTGAAGTTGTGTTCGGGATAGCAGGCTCTGCTGCTGCTGCCCACCCTGTCTCCCTGTATCTCTGTATCGCTGACTCCCTGTATCTCTGTATCTCCGTCTGCCCTGTATCCCCCTGACTTTGCTGTGTCCCTGCTCTGCGGCCATGCTGCGGGCTCCATTCTCAGACCTTTTCCCCACTTGAGCTTCACCTTCCTGGATTATCAAGTTCCCAGTGGCCGGAAACTACTACAAATGCCGCCTGCCCTTTCCTGGTCTATGGAGAATCATTTTGCCTCCTTCGAAAGTGTGGAAACAAAGATTCAAACGACTAATTACTAACGGTTAAATTATTTGACCTTTTTTCTTTTTCTCATGACAGATTAATCCTAATGGAATGAACACATTCTGAGATTTCACGTTTTTGAAAGTGGATAAAGATCCAATGTTTTTGATTCTCTGTATCGTCAAACCAGTTTCTGGGACCAAAAGTTTTTAGGACAAACAGAGGGAACATGGCAGTACTGCATCATTTTATTTTTTTTAAACACCCAATATAACTGAGTATATTAAGACACAGACATTTTTGTTCAGGTTTGTGACTTGGAAACAACCCTACTTAAAACCTCCACGTTTTGGTTTTACACCATGAAAACAGTTTAAAGTTTTCACAGTTGTTTTCATATCCAAGTTCTGGATTTTAAGGAGACGAGATCCCTCCTGACATTTTGTCATGCAAAGTGTCTAAAGCCCACATCGATCCAGCCTCTGGGTGTCTGTGATAGTTGGGGAGCAGTCACGGTTCACAGCCAGCGCAGACGGCAACACTACCATGGGTGCTAAACAGACCAAAGGCCAGGAAGCCGGAGGAGCCAGTCCTCAGCACAGCTGGAAGAGGACTCCTACCAAGGAGCGAGGGGACATCTTGGCGTCCCTCATGCTGAAGTCCGGGGACAGATTGAGCCGCGGTGGGACGCCGCCACCCTACCAGCGACGCATCGGCATGATCCAGGAGATGATGCTGATGGCCAAGCAGGGCAAGCAGGACGAAGCCACAGAGATGCTGAAAACACTCCGACAGGTAGTCACTCTGTGTGTGTGTGTGTGTGTTGAATCTAGCTGACAGTATAACATAATATACAGCTAACTTATCACAAATAGCCTTATTATTCCTGATGTTATTCAAAAAATGTATTACTTAGTTTGCTCATAGCTGGAATACTATATAATATTGAATATATTCAAATTATAAAAGTGGGGGTCAAACCCTTAGTTGTATTTACAGGGTGGGGGCTGTCATGTCATTTCAGTTTATACAAATCATGCAGTTGAAACACAGCAGTTTGTAGTTTAATGTCAAACAAAAACTGCGAACATTTGATGCCTTTGATAAATGATTTTATGTCAAATAATATTCAAAGTTCATAGGAGTCACCACTTCAATACTGGGCTTTATCTTAGACCCTAGAGCGTTGGTCATTATGGCACCAGCATGGTAGTTTCCTAGGACACAACCTGTGACCAAGTGGTTAGTGAGAAAAATAACTATAACTATTATAGAGTTAGTGTAAATAAAAGCAGTCTCATAAATCTTTTCCTGTCATTATCTTTTACCAAGGCCTGTCTAAAGTACAACCTACTGCCTGCACTCTGGCCTTGAACTGTTGACCTCTGTGGCAATGCAAAACATATGCATGTAAATTATTGAGACGTTCACCGCTGCTGTCATTTTTGCACTGTTTATTCACTTGATGCTGTGTGGCTTAAAAACAGCAGATGATGCGGTTTCTGTTGAACCTGAAGAGCAAACTGTCTCCTCGTGTGTTCTGGCCTTCATAGACGCTGAAGGTTGTCTGTGCGGGGGAACCTTCTGTTCAGTAGAATTCAGTGGTTTTTTTTGTTTGTTTTTTAAATGCCATCTCTTAACTTCATATACATGACAGCCTTGCTTCTTGGCTTCCTTCTCTCTGCACATTTATCACATTTACCAGACTGTGAGACAGACACTGAGCAACCAACTGACCGTGTCACCTTCTATATGACCGTACATGAGGAGACGGGCTGATGCTGTGAAGCTGAGCAAAGCTGAGCAAAGCTCCGCTGGACCAGAAAACAACTCACTCTCAGAGTGCTTGTGACGTTAGGGTTGCTGGTTTGAGTCCTGTGACTGGCAGGGATAGTGTGTTTTGGTACGTACCTGGGTTCAGAGGTTGAATGCTGAGAGCAATTTTGTTGTTTGTAGCAAAAAGGTCCAATGACATGAAAGTTCATCTTCCTTTGTATTTCGCTGACAAGCTAAAGCCGTGCAATTTGATCCCATTGCAAATGGAAACTGTTGTTTTGCTGATGTCTCTGTCAGTATGTTGAAATGAGAATTGTTGATAAGTTGCTGTTTCCTGGTCAGATGGTAACTTTGCATGGGTGTCATAGAGCGTGTATGGTTCAGGGGACATATAAATATATAATATTGCATTCATAATTTACAGCAGCTTGTTGTCACTTGGTTGTTTTGATTTGAGATAATTGTGAAATGATGTAAATCAAGGTGCTTAAAGGAAGAGGAGGAGGGAAGAAGGATGAGCTTTATGAGGACTTAGTCTTATTTATAGGACGGCAGCCGTTCTATATGCTGCCATTGTTTCACTGTTTA